GGCCAGAGCTGCGCCGTGGGGAAAGTAGACCAGCCTTAAAATTAGGTTGTGTACAAGGCCCGGGGATTTAACGGCACAGCCATCTTACAAAACACCACCTGGATCCTCTCCTGCTCAGCCCCTCGATCCAAACCACGCTGCTCCTGCGGCTGTGTTAACTCCAGCCCCTGCTTTGGCTCCAGGGCTGTGAAACAGCAGCGGTGGGGATGGCAGGCAGCCTCTGAGGGGTTTATCCTGCTCACGTCTGTCACTGGAGCACGAGGTGAGGATGCAAAACCCACCAGGAACACGGTCTGCCTGGCGTGCACGGCTCTGTACTGCTGTAACCGTCCTGCTGGGTCCCTGCTTGCCTCCCAAGCGTGGCAAGATTTTTCTAACCCACTTCTGCTGCCTGGGGAGCTGCAGGGAATCTGGCTGGAGGTGCGTGGGAGCTGAGCCGCACGGTTTGGGTCATGGTATTTGGGGATTATATGGAAGCAGCCGGTCTGAATGTGCCAAGACAGTCACACTCGGGCGCCCGGGGTGCTCACAGATCTCCGGCTGTCACAGGAGGCTGGACCCTGCAAGCCCTGCTCCTCTCATTTTTCTCTTCTACCTCTCAGCGTGGTCAGCCCAGCCCCAGGAGGGACGGAGGCTGCGGGAAGCCAGGGAGGCCACAAAGCAGAGTGGCTGGATCCGTCCCAACCTGCCAAATGACCTAAACCAAATCATCAGAGGGACCTCACTGCCTCCCACCCCTCTGCCTTCGCCCAGGATGGCCGAGCGTGACCGATCCACCCCAGCAGCCATGGTGTGGGGGCTTCTTCAGCGTGGGGAGCGGGGCTGGGGGTCCCTGACCTCTCCATGGGGTCGGGGAAGCAGATGCCCCATCGCCGGCCATGCCAGCGCCGCGGGGCTGGCGTGGAGCCGCCTTTGAAGCGGGGTCACTTTGCTGCAGCTGGTCGGAGGCGAGGGGGCCCCATTTCTCATTCCCTTAGTGTGTGTGGGGGGCACATCAAAGGGCTCCCTGGGGAGCAATATCAAATTGCACTTAAGCATTTGCACGGTGGAAGCTTTTGAAAACGCCAGTGGTGGTGGCTGGGCTGCCTGCAGCTGTGGTGCCTCCGAGGCTGCAGCTCCCTCCTCATCCTCAGCCACCCCATCATCCCTGTTGTTTCCCAGGCAGGGGAGGGGAAGGGGGTGCAAGACCCAGTGCTGGGGCTCTTGATGCCTACGTCTTCCCGGACAGGCCTTGCACATCATCCCCAGCCAGAGCCGAAAGTGGAAAAGCCACGAGGTTCCTGCTCTATTGCCAGGATTAAAAATTAAAAATGAGGAGGGGGCTGCAAGCAAGCAGATCCCCAGCCTGTGGGAGCTGGGGTCCATCCCCACATGCCCAGGGAGCGCTCGAGCGGCACATCAAAGGCACCAGGAGGGCAGAGGGCATGGGGAGCCAAGTCCCTGGCGGGGGGGAATGGGGCCAGATGGCTCCATCCCTGGGGGGGAGGACGTAGGGATGTAAAAGCAATGGCAGAAAGGGAAGGGGGGCGAGTTGGGGCTGGGGGAGGCTGCCGAGGCTGTGTGTCTGTGGGGCAGCTTTGGGATGTGAAACCCCCTCTCTGGTTTGCAGAGATGTTTGTGTTCTGCGGCTGGTGCCCGTGGGGGGATTTAGCATCTCCTGCATCCACCACCTGCGTGGGCTCCGTGGATGCACAAAGGCCTGCCTTCCCCTCCTGGGTCCCCGGGGGAGGGACCCCCATCCCTCCCGGCCTTCTCCCCACCACCGTGCGGGGTCAACACCTCCTTGTCAGGGAGACATGGGCTGGAGGGGCCGCTCCAGGGTCCCCATCCCTCCAGAGATGCTCTTGGCAGCTAGTGACCGTGGAGCTCAGCTCCAGCAGGAGCCTTCAAAGCCTGTTTCCCTCAACGCCCCCCCCCAGCCCTGCAGCCCACCCTGGGTGCCCTCAGCTGGTGGTCCCACAGGTGCTGCCCACCCAACCGGGCTGCTGATGCTGCGGGTGCTGCCCCACTCCCCCACCTGCAAACCCACAAGCAGGCGAGATGCTGCCGATGCTCCGGCGCGTGCTCCCTGCCTCGGTTTCCCCCCGGGAGAGCCAGGCTTGCCTGCGCCTCCTGAAGAACGAGTCCTTGGCGGAGGGAGCAGGGCTGGGGAGCAGGACAGGACTTGCTCCTCACCCCCACTCCCTCCCCGCTGCCCAAACGCCCAGCACAGAAATGAGGCAGAACCTGTTCTGTGCACCCACGGGGATGCTGCCAGCACCCAGCTCTGAGCTGCCAGCACCCAGCTCCGAGCACCCGGCACCCAGGAGACAGAAGGGGGGTTTTCTCCCTCCGATGCTGTTTCGGGAGGTGGCTGGAGCCGGGCTGCAGGCCACCGCGGCTGCCTGGCTCGCTCCAGGGTCTCTGCAAGGAAAACCATCCCTGAGGGCTGATCCAGCGCCTTGCTCGCCTTGTGCTGGTGGCCAGGGTGTTCCCCGGTGTCACCGGTTGACGCAGCCTCCGGCCACGGTTGTCCTGGGCTGAGGGAGGCACCGAGGGAGGCTCTGCTCCACGGGCACTGCAGTGCTGCAGCGGCTACAGCTGAGACCCAGCAAACTCACTACGCCTCTGGGTCACCAGGGATGGCGTGGGGGGACACACTGCAGGATGTGACCCATTGCTCCCCCACGCCTCCGGCCGTGGGGTTTAGCTCTGTGTGTGCTGTGCTCGAGGCTTCCCCGAGCTGCCTGCCCGTGGCCCCGAGGAGGGGCACTGCCCCACTGAACAAGCCCATCACCGGGGTGTCAGGTACTGTCTGTCCATCCATCTCCAGAGATCCAGGAGCAGGGGACGGATCCTGCCACATCCTTTCCTGTCCCAGTCTCAGCCAATAAACATTTCTTGCTCTGGATGTTGCTGGTACAAAGGGTCCAGGACACACAGAAGGGGATCAGTGCCCACCCTGGGCGACCCAGAGCTGAGCCACCAGCCTACGAGCACCCCTGCAGGGACACGACCGTCCCTGAGCCATCCCCTTCCACCCCCCGCAGAGACCTGGCCACGCTCGCTGCATTTCCAGAGCATCCATAGCAGGGACCTCGTCCACCTAGGGCCTCTCCCCACCGGAGCTGAGCAGAGATCACCGTATGAGGGGAGGAAGGGGAGGGCAGCCGGCAGACAGACAGACAGAGCTGTTGTTAAAGTCTCATTTCCTTAGAAACCACACTAAAAATAACCCCCTTTTCTTGCGGTCCTGTGCTCAGCATGTGCTACCAGGCTGCTGCCGCTGCACCCCACCGCAATTCCTCCCCCAGCAGCACTGCCATCTCGTCGTAAAGCCGGCTGGGTGATGGCTGGAGCCTGGTGGGGAGCCTGACCCACCCCCCCCCAACCAGCCACCCTCCCTCTGTGATCGAGGGAAACTGAGGCACAGGTCCCCGATGTGCTGGGGAAGGATGCTCCTGCGCTGCGTACTGGGGTTTACCACTGCGGGGCATTGCCGGCCTGATCCTGCATGGGGCTGAGCACCCAGGTTTGTCCCGGGTGGTCGGGACCCCCATTCCTTTGGAGCAAGATGGGATCGCACTGGGTGGGATGGGAGCTGTGGGGCTGGGGATACCCATGGGGTAGGGGCTGTGGGGCTGGGGTTAGTGATGGGATGAGGCTGGGGGGGACTGGGGCTGCCCCATGGTATGGGAGCCGTGGGGCTGGGGGCCCTGCAAAGCCCCAGGGACCCTGCACTGCCCCACACTAGGTTTTC